GTTCAATAGTATAGATTAGTAGGGAGTCTTCCTAAAAGTATGACTCTTATCTCTTGTAATCTCCTATTTAAGGAGCTGATAATATTCAATAAAGGCATCGAAAATTTCAGTCAAGAAAGAGCAAAGGAGAGTTGATCTCTTGAACAAATCACCGTTAAGGCGCCAAGATAGGTTCCTCAAGAAAAGGGAGGAACAAGGGAAAACAAGAGGTTTTCCCCATGGACCGACCCGTGACGAAATCCTATTCTCGGGCCCTTAACACGTACATACATACATACATACATAATAAAAAATATTATATATATATATAATTTTTTTATTTTATATATACATATAATAATAATAATAACTATTTTTTATATGTCAAATAAAATAATTTTTTATTTTTATAAAATGTTTGGCTCACAGTCGAGTTCAAACTTACAAGCTTTTGACTTGAGCCAAACTTGAGCTCAAGTCTCTAGCTCGAATCGAGCTCGAGCTGTTTGCAATCTGGAGTCACCCTCAATCAACAACAGTGCCACACCTAGCTGATTTGCAATCTGTACACCTTGAATTGCAGCCAACAACTCCGCCCTAGTGGAGTCCCCAACTCCTAAAGGACCTGAGTAGAGCAACACCACATTTCCAGCCTCATTCTTGAGAACCCCTCCCAACCCAGAAAGACTTGGATTACTTTGATTACTTCTGTCAAAATTCAGTTTCAATACACCTGTAGGAGGAGGTACCCAACTTACACTAACTCTAGGCTTTGGAGAGGTAGTGAGGTACTATTTGCCACCGCAGCCCAATTCCTCCAAAGATCACTAAAGGAGAAAAGGTAGAATAGCTCCAACGATTTTAACCACTGGACAACCCTATTCAAGATGCAATCCTTCAGCTCTTGTAGGTTTCTCTCCTTCTCTTGAAACACTTTGGCATTCCGTTCTTCCCAAACAGTCCAAATCAGTGCTACTCTTACACATCTCCACATTAACCTCCCTCTTCTTGGACGCCAAGCAAAGGTAGAAGGATTAAAAAGCAAGCTTACTTCTGTTGGCATGTTCCACATGCACCCAAACAACAAAAAGAGCTAACCCCATAACTCTGCAGTAACAGAACAGGAAATTAGTAAGTAGTAACAATCTTCATCAGGACCTACAAAGAATACACCAATTAGGTGAGATCAATGATTTAAAAGGCACACAGGTAAGGCGCATTTTAGGGTATGCGCTTTGCCTAGGTCCTAGGCACAGCCCTTTCTAAAGGTGCATGCCTAGTGTGCCTGATGTGCCTTGCGCCTCAGCCCAAGCGTGAGCCTTTTTAAATTTTATGCTTTTTTGCTTTTTTGGACCTAGTGGTTGGGTCAGGAGTAGAGCTCCCGAACCCCCAACCACTTCCTATTTGCTAATGCTGTTCATTCATTCATTCTAATAAAATATCTTCTTAAAAGGCAATTAAAGTTATAAAATCATTATTTTTTATGTGAGAATTAAGAATTTAAGACCCTAATATGGACTTGTTTGGGCTTGCCTCGAGGGGCTTGGTACAAAGGCAGCTCGTAGAATCAAGAATGCAATATGTTTTACATCACATTAGCTACTTGAAGTAATGCAATTGAGGAAAATAAGAGATTGTGGGTATTACATGCTTGAAAATGCTTTATATGTTTGATTTTATTTTTAAATTTTCATTTGAATATGCTTTACATGTTATGTTTATGTATTTTAATTTTGGCTTTTAAAACATTTATTTTGAATATTATGTTTAATATTTTTTGAATTTTGTAGCATTTTTTGGATTTTGACATTTTTTTTATTTTTAAGATTTTTTTTGTATTTTTGCACCTTTCGTTAAAAAGGTGTGTGCCTCACCTTGCGCTTCAATTGCCCCTTGCGCTTTTTTTACGCCTTGCATTTTTAAAACACTGGGTAAGATGCAAAGGAAAGGTCTTCTCTTTTTGTAGGTTGTCCAAGGTGTTTATTTTCCCATGAAACACTTCCCAACAAACGTCCTTAATCGAGAAAGACTTGTTGGAATATTTACTTTTCATTTTATGTTTTTATTCTTCTTAGTTAGGGTCTGATTAAAATAGCTTTTTTATCATTGTTTATGTACTTTGACTACAACAAGGGCATAAGGGTCTTTTCCCTTTTAATTATGGTCGCCCTATATAATAATAATATAAGTTGGCGCCACCAGATAGATTTAGAACCCTCCAAACCTTTCTCTTCTCTTCTCTCTTCTCTTCTCTCTTCTCTCTCTCTCTTCTTCTTCCTTATTTCTCCTCTTTTCTTCGGCTAATATGGTATCAGAGCAGTTCTATTGGGTCTAAGAGTAGATCGAATAAGTTCTTTCTTCTGTCTTGCTATCTTCTTCAATTGAGATCAGAGAAGTTGACCTACGACTGGTACACCGTTGTTTTACCTTCTTTTCTTTTCTCTTGGTCGTGTACCAACTAGACCTATTCATGGGCCGGGTGGCCCGACAGGCCGGCCCGGCCCAGCCCGACCCCCGGACGGGCTTGAACATGCTTATAGGCCCGCGGGCTTAAATTCGGGCCAAAAAGCCTGGCCCGCAATAAATTCGAGTCGGGCTCGGTTTTTGTCAAAATAGCCCGGCCCGAGCCCGGCCCGGCCCGACCTAATATTAAACTTAAAATTAGTTATTATGTCCATTTGAATAATTCTAATGTAAAACGGGAAAATTGTTTTTTTTTTCAATTAGGTCGGGCTTCGGGCTCGGGCTCGGGTTTTGGGCTTTTTACCAGGGTCGGGCTCGGGCCCAAGTTATAGGCCCATTGGTCGGGCCGGGCTCAGGCTCAGGCCTAGTATATTTTCATTAGTGAGAAGTGAAAGCCCGGCCCGAGTCCGGCCCGGCCCGGCCCATGAACAGGTCTAGTACCAACAAAAAAACCTATGAAACAAAATTGTTGAATGTTGTCAAAGGAATTGTGAGGTTCAGGCCTTTTTTCTATGGATTGTATGATCCTGTACTTGAGAATGGGATACTTGTAAGTCACGAATGACCTATTTTTACCCTGTTTTGGTGTGACTCAACTGTTTTATGATCTCTCCTAGTAGTTGGTGTGTTTAGATGATTGGAAAATTGGTGGATTGTGACTTAGACTCAATTGTTAAACATGTGCAGTGCTGAATCAACCTAAAAAATATTTTGTTTTGGAGAATTGGAGCTGGCCTGTATTCAGATTGTGTCCAGACCGGAGTGTGCATGTGGACTGCATCTCTAGTGTGTTTTTAAGACCTTTTTGGGTGTCAAGAGAGATTGTAAGGTGTGTGTTGAAACTGAAACGTGTTTGAATCATGTCCTCGGAGAATTCTGCAACTTCTGGAATTTCAGGAGGTTAAAATGGAATGAGTGGGGGAATGGATATGAATTTCCCCATGGCTGTAATTCCCTTTGATGGACTAAACAACCTTGAATGGTCTAGGGGAATTAAACTTCTGATTACTGCTAGGGGGAAAATAGGGTATATTAATGGTAAAGTGAAGGAACCAAAGACTGGAAGTGTTGAACATGACAGGTGGGACCGAGAAAATAATATGGTTATGTCATGGCTCTTGGTTTCCATGCTGCCACAAGTAAGGAAGACGTTTATGTGGGCTAAAACAGCTTGTGAAATATGGGAACAAGCAAAATCTACCTATTCAAAGCAGAGGCACTATGCAAAGATATACCAATTACAAGTTGAATCCTCCACTTGCAAGCAGGGGGAGAGGAGTCTCTCAGTGTACTACTTAGATCTGACATCAATTTGGAAGGAACTGGATCATTATCAAAATGTGAATTGGAAGTGTGATGAAGATATAAAGGCCTAGAAATCACTTGTCTCCCAACAACGAGTATTTGCTTTTCTTTTGGGGCTGAATCCTACGTATGAATCCATGAGGATACAAATCTTAGGAAGTAAGAACTTAACTTCAGTTCAGAGAGTTCATGCCTTAGTTCAATTTGAAGAGAGTAGAAGTGTGATGAATTGTACAGAGGGGGAGCCGGTTGCACTAGCAGTCCGAGGTACAAATTCAAATGTCAGAGGCTCTTTTAAGAAGGGTAATTCACAAAAGAGAGTGGATGACAAAGACAAGCTTTGGTTTGGTGCACTCACTATTAGAAGTCTAGCACTTGATCAGGAATTGAGTAAGAAACCATCATTTGATCAGAGTAAGAAGCCAACTCAGCAAAGTCAAAAGAAATATAACTCAGCAAATGTGGCATTCAAGAGACTAGCCCCATGGTACCCCAAGAGTGACACTCTAGTTTTGACCCCAAGGAAGAGATTATCAACTCTTTTCACGACCACTTGAAATTACATGGTACGACACTTCGCCAGATGGATTTGGCCCTACTCCTACCTCCTTGGCGTCTACATCAAGTAACACTACCACTACTTTCCATGTGTCATCTCATACATTTGATTCCCTTTGGATAATTGACTCTAGAGCCTCAAACCACATGACCGGTAAGTCAACTTTATTTTAGGAATATAACCTCCTCTCTGGGAGAGATAAGGTGAGACTTTGCAACCAACATCATTAGTTTTCCAGTCGAACAAGGCAAAGGAGTACTTCCATATTTTCCAGTCGAACAAGGCAAAGGAGTACTTCCATAGTGATCTCACAGAGTTCTTTGCTTTGTGTGGATCTCTTCATTGGAGCTCTTGTGCTAGGACACCCCAGCAAAACAGTGTCTCTAAAAGGAAAAATCAGTTATCTTCTTGAAGTAACTCGTGGTTTATTACTCCATATGAATGTTCCGAAATGTTTTTGGATGGATGCTATGTGCCGCATATATCATCAACCGTATGCCATCTCGGTTACTAGAGTATAAAGCCCCACATCAACTTTTGTTTCCTACAGCTCCTCTGTCCCCTATTCCAATGCGTGTCTCTAGGTGTTGTTGCTTTGTTCATGACTTGTCACCTACTTGCGATAAGCTCGATCCTCATGCCATTCCTTGTGTTTTTCTTGGCTACCCTTTATCTCAAAAAGGTTATCATTGCTATGACCCTGCCTCACACAAGTACTATATCTCCATGGACGTATCCTTCTTTGAGAATCACCTTTTTTCTCAGTTTCTCCTTAGAGGAGAGCAGGGTTGAGGAGGAGAAACACACCGGCACTCAAACTCAATTACCTCCTCTTCTTGATCCTCCATTTCGTGTCTTTCTTCGCCGCCATAACAGCCAGCAAAATTCAAGAGCCATGGAACTTAAAACTATGCAACCAACATCATCAGACTCTCCAGAGGTAGATCCTCCTCATCAGCCAGGTACACTTGTTGCCATTGATATGCCTTAACCTCTTGATATTGATCCCCCTGTTATTAATGATCTTGATGTTCCTATTGCTAAGAGAAAGGGTGTTAGATCTTCTACTACTAATCATCCTATCTCTCACTTTGTATCCTATGATCATATTTCACCTTCATATCGTGTGTTCCTTTCCTCCATTAACAGTGTTTCTATTCCTAAGGATGTGGTAGAAGCTTTATCCAAACTTGAATGGACAAATGCAATGAAGGAAGAAATGAATGCCTTACACGAAAATGACACTTGGGAGTTGGTGGATCTTCCTGAAGGAAAGGAATAGGTGGAATGCAAGTGGGTGTTCACAGTGAAGCATAAGGCTGATGATACGGTAGAAAGGTACAAAATCAGATTGGTGGCCAAAGGGTTTACACAAGTACATGAAATAGACTATGCAAAGACCTTTGCTCCAATAGCCAAGATGAATTCTATTAGAATCCTCCTTTCACTGGCAGCTAATCTTGACTAGGAACTTTACCAGTTGGATATTAAAAATGCATTCTTGAATGGTGACCTAGAGGAGGAGGTGTACATGACTCAAACTCCAGGTTTCTGTGCCAAAGGTAGTGAGCAGAAGCTGTGCAGGTTAAAAAAATCATTATATGGGTTGAAACAATCTCCTCGGGTCTGGTTTAGTAAGTTTCACTTAGTTGTACAGCAGACGAGGTTCAAACAATGCCAGTCAGATCATACTCTGTTTTGTGAAAAAAGGTGAAGGGAAAATTGCAGCTTTAATTGTGCATGTTGATGACATAGTGATCACAGAAGACTGGAAGACTGAAATACAAAAGCTGAAGAAATTCTTAGCCACTCAATTTGAGGTGAAAGATCTAGGCCCCTTGCGTTATTTCCTTGGGATTGAAGTTGCCCGCTCTCAAAAGAGCATCTTTATTTCCCAAAGGAAGTATGTACTAGATCCATTAGAGGATGCAAGCAAGTTAGGGGTGAAGCCAATTTATTCACCCATTGAACCTAACCATCAGTTAGGAGACAGTCAAGGGGAATTTTTGAAAGATGTGAAGAAGTTCCAAAGACTTGTAGGGAGACTTGGGGGTGGCAATTTTCCCCGTCCCCGATGGGTACCCGGGCTCCCCGACCCGATGGGGTCGGGGATGGGAGGTACCTTGGCGGGGTCGGGATCGAGGATGGGGCTACCCCATGAATCGCCAATCGAGGATGGGGACGGGGACGGGGAATGCAATCCCCGCCCCGACCCGTCCTCGATTAATATATTATATATATTAATATATTATATATAATATAATATTATATATTATATAAGTATAATAATTATTAATTTATTTATAAATCAATAAAAACTAAAAGTCTAAAACATAATTCGAAGAAATCAAGAAAACTTGAAAAGTTGGAAAACCCTTAACCCTCGACTAAACTAGTTACCAGTCTTCATTCTTCTATCTTCAACAAAGAAGACTCAAGAGAGGCAACTGAACCATAAAACCAATAAACCCTAGCTTCGTCTTCGTCGTCGATTCGCCGACCGCCAACCGCCGTCGCTGACTGTTGCCACTGCCCACTCGCCCGTCGGACATCGAACAGAGAAGAAGCCAAAGAACTGAGGAAGGGACTTCGTCTTCGTCGCCGATTCACAGACCGCCGACCTTCATCATCGTCGCCGTCGTTGTCACCTTTCGGACTCTCTCTCATCAGTCATCATTGACATAAACTCTCCCAAGTCCCAATGGTCCTCTCCCTCTTAGTTTCGGGGATTCGGGTCTCCGACGGGGAATTCGTCCCCGTCGGAGTCGGGGATGGAGGGGGTATTCCTTTGCCCGTCAGGGATCGGGGACGGGGATGGGGGGTGATTTGGAGGTCGGGGTTAGGGATGGGGAATGTACTCTCCGCCCCAAACCCGCCCTATTGCCATTCCTAGGGAGACTCTTATATTTGTCTATGACTAGGCCTGATATTGCCTATGCAGTGGGTGTCCTTAGTCAATTCATGCATAATCCTACTCACTTTGAAGCTACAGCAAGGATCCTTAGATACCTCAAGAAGTTCCTAGGAGCTGGTTTGCTATTCGAGAAACATGGGCATTTGAAGGTTGAAGTATATACAGATGTTGGTTGGGCAGGGGCAGTCGATGACAGAAAGTCTACCAATGGGTATTGTACCTTCGTGAGAGGAAACTTAATCACCTGGAGAAGCAAGAAGCAAAGTGTGGTGGCTAAGTCCAGTGCTGAAGTGGAATACAGAGCTGTCTCATGAAGTTGCTGAAATCATACGAGTAAAAAACTTGTTAGGTGAATTGGGTATTGCAGTTAACAAACCTATGCCACTCTATTGTAACAATAAAGTTGCTATCAATGTTACTGCTAACCCAGCCCTCCACGATAGAACAAAACATATTGAAGTGGACAAGCATTTTATTAGAGAAAAACTTGTGAGTGGAGAAGTGTGCACTACATATGTCAGTTCAGAAGAACAACTTGTAGACATCTTCACCAAGGGCCTTCATCATGTGCGGCATAATAATTTGTGTGACAAGTTGGGCATGATTGACATCTATGTCCCAACTTGAGGGGGAGTGTTGGAATGTTTACTTTACATTTTATGTTTTTATTCTTCTTACTTAGGGTCTGTTTGGTCTGGTTAAAATAGTTTTTTTTATCATTGTTTATGTACTTTGACTACAATAGGGGCATAAGGGTCTTTTCCCTTTTAATTATGGTCACCCTATATATAATAATATAAGCTAGCGCTGCTAGATAGATTTAGAACCCTCCAAACCTTTCTCTTCTCTCTTCTCTCTTCTCTCTTCTCTCTTCTCTCTTCTCTCTTCTCTCTTCTCTCTTCTCTCTTCTCTCTCTCTTCTTCCTTATTTCTCCTCTTTTCTTCGGCTAATAAAACTATTGAGAAGGGGGCTAACAAAGGGACCTAAAAAGAAGAAGCACAGAAGGAAGACCCTTTTGGATGTGAGGACCAAATCCGTTTGTTTGGTTGAGATGAGTCCAAACAAACTTTATCAAGAGGACTCAACAATCTGGTGAGACACTCAACTTCCACATCTCTCAAACCTCTAGGCTCCGTTTGGTTTGTGGGAAGATTTGGGTGGGATGGGATGGGATGGGATGGGATGGGTTGGGATGGGAAAGTGTAAAAAATTAAGTTTCCATTGTTTGGTTTTATTGGGATGGGATGGGATGGGAAAATGTAAAAAGGGGGAGAAGTTTAGAAGGAATCCACTATTCACCTTCATCCTCTCGACCGAACAAAGTGGCGACTAGGAAGAGAAGCGGCGGATCTGAACCCATCTTCGGCTTCCCTCTCTCGTTCTCTCTCCTTGATCTTCTTCTCTCTTCTCCTTCTTCCCCACTTCCCCCATTTTCTCTCTGCACGTCCCCTCTCTAATCTCCCTCTCTCTCTCTTTCTTCTTCTTCTTCTTTTGCTTCTTTTTCTTCTTCGTTTTTCGTCTCTACTACTCTGGTTCGCTGCCCGATTCGCTTCGCCTGCGCGTCACCGCTGCCTAGTTCGCTTCACCGCTGCCTAGTTCACTTCACCGCTGCCTGGTTCGCTTCGTCGCTGCCTGGTTCACCGCAGATCTGGTGAAGACCGGAAAAAGGTGTGGGAGAAGAGAGAAGAGGAAGATGGAGGGAGATCACCGCTGCCCCTCACACTGGTTCCTTGCCAGGTGAAGAAGGCGGTGGTTCTTTCAGTTGTAACAGTGCTTTCCCAAACTTTTCCACCGGGGTCGCACAGTTTTGGTGCGACCCCAAATCCATAATTTTGGGATCTGACATCCCACACTTTTCTCATCTCATCCCTCTCTTTCCCTCAAAACAAATAAGAGAAAACGGAATATTTTCGGAATATTCCCTTTTTCTCATCCCCATCCCACAAACCAAACGGAGCCCTACGAAAACCAAAATCCCAATTTGGTGCCAAGGAATTCTTAATAGAGGAGATGAAATTAGAAACAAACTCATTTTTGTACAAAGAAACACTGAACAAGGAAAGAGGTCCTTCATAGGTAAATCACCAATCCAAGTATTCTCCCAAAAAAGAACCGAGTTTCCAGTGCACACATCATACCTGATAAGGTTGAGGAAGAGAGGAAGGATACTGTGAATAGCCTTCCATGGAGTTGCCAATGTTGGCCATTGAAATACACCAGCATCCCACCTATTTCCTACACGACCATGAATTCTTCCTATCACCTCATGCCACAACCATTTCCCCAAAAGAGCTTAGTTCTTTTGAACTACATTCTCCAAATCCGATCCCCCTCTTCTTTACTCCGACAAATCACCTCCCACTTGATTAAGTCATCTTTCTTTCCTACTTTCCCCCGGTTCCCAAGGGAAACCTCTTATCAATTTCTCTAGTTTTTTAGATTCCCTAGGAGGAATCCTAAAAACTAACAGGAAATAGGTTAGTAGGTTAGATAGTGTGGCTCTGATCAATGTTATTCACCCCCTAAGGAGATATAATTCTTTTTCCAAGAGGCCAATCTTTCCTACTCTTTCCATTGGCATGTCTATAAATAATCTTGCTTTATTCCTTCAAATATTCTTGAGTTCCTTCGCTTAAGATTTTCCCCTTAACACCAATATTCTCATTCACCGTCATAATATCTTGCTTTTGTGTTAAGGTTCCTTGGTGGTGAAAAGATAAGAAAGGAGTAAGTGGTTAACATTCTCACTGTTTTGGAGCCAAGGAAACATGCATAAAGGGATAGACTCCAATTCAGTTGTCTATGTTGGAGAATCTTACCAATGTTGATTTCCAAAGTTGCTTCCCAACAAAAATCTTTGATCTTGGGTGGTATAGGGCCACCTTGAAAAGCATCAACAAGGAAAAGAATAGGTGAATAGGAAGAAGCATATAGGAAAGCTAGTATCCCATCATTTTCAAGATATCTAAATACTCATCTGAAACCAAAATTTCAATTGATTCCGAAAGAAGAAAAATAATCCATGCTAACATTTAGCAATGGGTTTATATTTATGCATGGTCCGTGGACAAGGAGTAAACTCTAGGGAACTGGATAGACAAAGGGCTATCGGGGTTTCCTCCCAAAATCAAATGTTATGACCTGAGATATGGCATATGCAATTCTATGGAAAGAGAGGTAGATCACTACAATATCTTTCAATGGGCAAAGCATGGATGCCTTGCTTGCTGGCCAGAACCACACTCATTCAAATGGATGCCATACTTACTCCTGATGACTGAATGCCACAAAAGATTGTGTTATAAACAAGAATAAGCAGAACCACTTTCCAAGCAGAGCAGTACATTTTTATCACTCACTCTCCCCAAAACCAATCTTCCTTTCATTTATACACTCTCTTAATTTATCAACTTTACTTGCCACTGGTTCCCACAAAAAGTCTAAATCATTTTCAATCCCTTTGATTATTGTCAGTAGGACCTTGAGAACAGACCAAAAAAAAGTAAACTGTTCGATTTTCACACATGGATTTCATAAGAGTGTTGCTACCCAAAATATATGCATGTAGTATCCCTTGCCAGGCTTTTCTAGGCTATAGAATAACAAATTTCTGCATTTAAAATACGTTTGCACTTTGCAGTAGATAACAGAAAGAATATCCATGTAGTTCAGAATAATTTCCTGAAATACTACAAGATGATATCCTTTGACAGAAGCTTTGGTTCTATTTGTAATGTTTAATTAATTTCAATGCAATCATGACGTTGTGTCATTTATGTGCCAATTAATTTTGGATTCCTTACCAAGAAAATGTCAGTAATTTCATTCACAGAAAAAAAAAAAAAACGTAGAATGCAAAAGAAAGAAAAGATACCAAGCAGAGCACAGTTTTTTGCAATAATAAGAGAAGAAAAAGAAATTTCAACAGATACCATCCAAGCTAGCTGACATGGGTGACTAACTGACTGTTTGAGACAGGGTATTACCATTGCACATGTATAAAGAACAATGAGAACTTGAGAAGTAAAACTTACAAGATTTCAAGCCACAGAGTTGCAACTGCACCCAGAATCAGGTGAAATGAAGTTCCAAGAAAGACCCGAATGCTCCACTAAAGATTCAGGAGAGTTGTCAAAAGGCATCACTTTTGTATGTGAACAATGAACAGCATCAGAAGAATCACTTGCTGTAGTTGAGGGACTACATTTAGCCCTTGGATTATCCCATTCCATATCAAAGGCATGTTCAAGGCGTTTTTCCACTGATTTCAAAGCAGATGTTTCAGTTTCTGGAGAATTTCGGGGAGAGAGGAAAAGTCGTTTCACGTTTAGAAGGTCCGTACTATTGAGATCATCTTGACCACCATGGTCACAGAAAGGCATCATCCTCAGCCTGTCATTTGAACTACCATACCTTGCTTCTGGTGTACAAATGCCATCAGAATCATTTGAATTGCCAGCTTGCTTGGAAGCCTCACGCCCTCTCTTTCTTATGATAGATGGGGTATTTTGATAACTCCTTGCAGCACTCCTCAATATATGGTCTGGGCTACTACCATTTCCAGAGGTTACTTGAATGCAGCTAGGTGGAGTAGAATAACAGACTGTATTGTTTTCTTTCTGAAAATAGTTATCTGTACTAGAAAATCCACCAGTTGCCAAAGCAATATTTAAATCCTTCAGCTGGGGAGGCTCATAACACAAACGGCCATAATTTGTATCCTCAGAATGTCCTGTCCCGGAGACTTTGGGGTGCTTACCAACTACACTGTTGTCACCATTAAATTCATGTTCTGACAATCTTGAGAAGTTACTGTAACGTTGAAAGTTGAATCTTGAATCCTTACCACATGACGTATTCATGAAATGAGCATAATTCTGGGGCCTCTTTGGTGATTCTTGTGATTTTTTAATGGTTGTAGGAAGAGACCTTTCTGGAGGACTACCATTTCTTCCACTACATTCAGTCATGTCCAAGGCAACATATGGAGAAGCTGACACAATTACACGCAGTGAAGGAGGTTGAGGAGATGAAAGACTTTTACAGTCAGCAGGTACACTTGCAGATTTATTTGAATGCAATAATGCCAAAGAATCATCAAATGGAACCCCACACAATTTTCCTGATTGAACAACAATTCCATGTTGTGAATCATCTGACAGTTTAGCATTGTTGATGCACGGTTCACTGGTCAGACCGTTTTCCCCAGCATCTTTATCATCACATAGGGTCTCAATGGATGGTTTCTCCAAACCATCCACTTCTACTTTGGAAGATCTACAGTTTTCTATGTCAACAGGCCATAGTTGTAGATGTGTCTGTACTCCATTTGCATTTCCAAGAATTGAACCTCTCAAATTAGCATCAACACCATTGCCCGTGTCAACTTTCTTGTCAAAACAAACCATTGTTCTAGGACTTCTGCCTACCACTTCATCCCTTTTATGCTCCACTTTTATTTCATGATTGTAGGAATCAGAAAAAGCAATTGGAGGCAAATCCCCCAAAGACCCATGAGCTGAATATGAATCCAACTTTTTCTTTACTGAGCAGTTCCAATGATTCTTAATTGAGTTGTCCGCCCTATAATTAATTTTCACAAAAAGAGTAAAATAAGATAGAAATAATGCATCTGCTTCACTTCAATATTTTAGCTGGCTGCTTAGTTTGGAAAATTATATATTGACAAGTCAGCCAGATCCAAAGTGATCTATTTTACTATACTTAATTAGGTATTCCCTGCCTGAAGGACCATGAGAACATTAAATTCTCATAGCAGCACAGGTGAACATGCAGGGAACTGCAATGCACCATTGACATGCACCACCTGGATATTTCCCAGGCCAAAAGCTAACCTGACAGAAATACCTACACTATTCAACTCACTATTTTTAGTTTTCTACCTTGTGCCATGTTTTTCTCTTTCCCCCCAGTTGTTCAGCAGATTATGCTAAATTTCCTTATAGTACATTATCTGATATTTAAAACTGATGCAACCATAATCTTATACTGATACCTTCCAGGGAGCAATTTTGCGATTTCAGCCCATTTGTTCCCATATATTTGGTGTGCACGTATAAGAGCCAACTCCTCCTCCTTGGTCCATGCGTCCTTCTTTATAGCAGGGTTTAAATGGTTGTGCCACCTGAGAAATCAAATATTAGTTTCAGGGTTCCAGAACAACACATCTGAGATACTATATACACGGTTAACAACTTATTTATTGACTTTATCAAAGAGAAGAAAAACAAAAGCTGAAAAGAAAAGGAAACTAATGCAACAATAAAAGATCACCTATCAATCCCCGTTCCCAATATAATCTAAAAGGCTCTTCACTAATTTTGGCAAATATAAAAGCAAGAAGTTGATTGCTATGGCTAAGGCCTATATTTTTTGAAGAGTGAGAAAGCTTCAAATCTACCATTTTTTTATTTTTCCCCTAACACAATGGCTAGAGTCACTACCAATTACTTAAATGGATATACTTGCATACTTGTGGGAGAAGTGCCTCTAATTTTTAACTTTTCCCCTAACATAATGGCTAGAGTCACTATCAATTACTTAAATGGATAGACTTGCATACTTATGGGAAAAAGTGCCTCTAATTTTCTTAAAAAGCCACCTGCTCTAACTGGCCACAACTAAAATCACCAGTTTTTTTATGAGTAAAACCAACAGTTATGGAAGGAAGTAAATTCCCCAAGTAAGCATCAAAGCTAAGATTGACTTATCACATGATGCTAATCCACCCTGAGGGTAACCAGGGCAATGACTAAATGTTTGAATACAAGTCTCTTAAGAGGACAATAGCATTTATTTTGAAACCTTTAATTGAAAGAATCAAATGAGAATGCAAAATCTTTATTCTTTTTTTTTATTTTTTCAATGAAAACTTAGGAGACGATAAGGCAGACATAGTTGCAAAAGGACAGAAAAATACTGTAAGTAGTTAAGAGTTTATAAAAAATATTTTTTGCATATGGGCCATATTAGCATGTCAGCCTTAGAAAATAACATCTAGCATCAGTTTTGAGCAGCAAAAATTCAGCTAATGAGCATACATCATTTAATAACTACAAATACCAGTACATGCAATAGGTTTTATACGAAAACAGCAGTCTTTTACAACTACAAATACCAGTACATGCTGTTAAACTAAAGTGTTTGTGCAGGGTTATTTTAGTCTTTTTATCCCTTTCTTATTTATGTTTTATTATCTTTGTTCTTAAGTCATATAGTCAGGGGCATTAGTGTAATTTTGTTCTATTACAAATATAAACTAATATGGGCGGCAGTTGTGTCTCTTGATAGAGACAGTATCTGAAGCCCTATTCTCTCTTCTCTCTCTTCTCTCTACTGTACCTTCATATTCTGGGATCATACCAGGATTTCTACCTGTTTATTTCTCAAATGCAGGCCTGATCACATGGTACCAGAGCTGGTCTGATCGACTGTTCAACTGGAACTGTGAAAGGACGCCTGGAATAGCTTCGGCTGAAGACTACAGTTGATAGAAGTTGAAAGGGAGAGAAAGAAACAAAAAAGACTGATCGCCCAGAGGGATAGGAGGCTTCCATGCCTCAAGAAGCACCGTGTGTTGAGTTTTTGTTGGTGTTCTAGACTCCCTCTATTTGGCAGTTCAAAGAGGGACTGTGCGCGAATGGTGTAGATCGGCTGATTATTTTTTGTGAGTGGTGGACTCCTTTTTGTCAACGGTGGGACAAGACAACCTTGTGATCTATTTTCTGTGCTTTTCTTAATTAATATGGTGAGGTCGGTTGTTTTTTTGGAGGTTTCTAATGGTATTTTTCTCTTCTAAAAGGTTGCGGCTAGGCTGTTGGTATTCCCGAATTAATAACTGAACCGACTGAACACTTGGAAGTAAGTTACTGAAATAACTTGTATGTGATTCATGGCAGTTTCTGGCAGTGAAACCAAAACAAGTGTGATGGTACAACCAGATTTCATGGCTGTCCAGATGACTTCAGTCAAACTCAATGGTACAAATTATGTACCATGGGCAAAATCTGTTGAAGTAAATTTGACTGCTAGAGGCAAACTGAAATATATTAAAGAAAACAAACCAGACCAGGGGGCAGCAGGGTATAATGACCGGATACAAGAGAATGCACAGATAGAGGTGTAAACCGGGTCGTGCCGCCCGCAACCCGGCACGATTTTGAGCCAGCCTAACCCGATGGTCCACAGGCCGTGCCACGGCCCGGCACAATTGTATGGGCCGATGGGCCATGCGGGGCTTGGGGTTTTAGGTCAGCAGGCCGGGCCCTAGTGATCGTTAATCAATAATATACTTTTCTTGTTTTGAAGTATAGTACATAAATTTTATGAATATAGTCCTTATCATTTTACCTCATGTTTCTCTAAGAAAATGAGGTCTCATGAAGCTTAAGATTCAACCATTGAAACTTACACCTCAAGCATATAAAGGCCCTAGTGACTATATTAATTATATCCAAGTACTAATTACCTGTATTTATACAAGTTTCTCTATCAGCTTATATTGTCAAAAAAGTACCTATACAGCATACCATAAAAAAGATACTATAAAAAAGGTCAATACAAGGGATGAAGTAGTCCAACAAGATTGTCCATGCACTTCAACAATGAAATCCATTGGAATGATCGAATGATGGAAAAAAGGTGACCCCAACCCCCTTTTACTTTTTTTAGATAAATGGTCATTCCCTCCTGTTACAGCCTATTACATAATGTGTTTTCCTTTCAATAGCAAGACAAATTAACAGAATGCCATTTCCCTCTCTAATCCAAAAAAATAGTCAACTATTCACTGCATACCAGGAATTTGATGAGATAACCATTGAGACCTACCTTTCTCGACATTGTTTTCCTATGCGGCCTGGCAAGGACTTTGCAATGACAGACCACTTTTTACAACCATATTTTTCTACCAACTCAATAATACGATCATCTTCCTGGAAGCACCAAAGGGGAAACAAAATAATCATGGATGCATAATATATACACGTAGAGTTAATAATAAACAAATAAAAAGAGTGTGAACATATCCAAACCTCCTTTGTCCATGGTCCTTTAATGAGTTCAGGATTGAGAACCTTCTGCCATCGATGCAGACACTGCACATCTGACCGACCAGGGAACCATTCAGCTGCAAGAGATCAGAAAGTTCATAAAATCACAAAAACAGTAGTAACTTCTGTACCACAAAGATGGAACAGATTAAGAAAAAGCAAAGAACATAAAAAATACGGAAGAAATCAGAAGGAAAAAAACTCCATAAGTGCTTATTTCTTTTGGATCTAACTTCCTCATATAGCTTGCATTTAACAATGAAACAGGACAACCAAAAACATAATTCATGAATGATATTCTTATGCTCTAGATCACTACATCATATCCTTCATCTGCATCTAACTGCTCACATTAATATCCAATAGGAAATCAAGAAGCTACTGAATTCCCATTAAAAAGGTCCTAGAGTAAATGTAGAAGATTAATAAATATGACTGAGTATTTTGTGCCTTCAAATGCTAAAGGCAAAAGAGAAAGGTAAGATAAGAAAACAAGCCAAATTGCAGTCCAACTAATAGGTACTTAGAAGGCTAAATAAATTCAACTTTAACTTTCAAATATTAGCAGAACAATATATAAAACAATTAAACAGATTGATCTTTAGAGTCAAGTGTTGTGAAACTCCTTGCAAATTAGTGAATAAATGACAAACCAGTTAATACATAGAAGCACACTCACCTATTTTCTTCCAATTTTTTCCATTGAATTTTTTGACTGCTTTTGTTAACAGGTCATCCTGTTTCACATTATCAGATAAGAGACAAAATGAAGTAATAGATGGTTAAAAATATTAGATTCATCCACTCACAAAATAATAGATAAATATATCTGCACAAAGAGATTAGGATTAATTTAACCCATGCCACTTATTTAGAAAGATAAGGTAAAGTACATAATAGTGTTAGTTCTGCCCAACAGTTACAGAAAAGGTCCATTATCCCGTGCTGGTTCTAGTCAGCCGGGATCTTGGGAGGGTTGGACTGATTATGGACCTAACCTCTGGGCACTTTTGCACAAAGTGGCAGCTCTCAGATGAACAGTTATAGAAAAGGTCTATCAACTAATTTCCAAATTCCAATCTACATTTCAAAGAACTGAAAACTGAATCTACATGAGAGTAAGTTAATAATCAAAGGAGACTATCGACCAGGAAAGAATATTTAGATACTCACTTCCTCCTCTGTCCAACCTCCCTTTGTCGAACGTCTGGTGGGACCAGTTGTTCTCCTAGAATGGTCAAAAAAGAAAGACAATTGATGAAAAATCACACATAACACTATCAATTACATTTTAGAGTCAAAAGCCCGAAAGCAATGACACTAATAGTAATGATAATAGTAGCGGTGGTCGTTGTGGTGGTAATAAATTAATAATACTACATAAAGACATGCTATAAATGGAAAGTTTTCATCTTATATCTCATCTCACTACCACTCCAAGCTCATATACATTGAAAATTAAGTTAGAAAAATAGAAATACGTACCCTTGAACAGAGCCTAACTTGGGAACAACAGTGTCACAACTACTATCGGAAACTGAAGAAGTCGAAGCGACTGTAACATCCTTGGTAGCTTCCACATTACTCTCCTCTTTCTTAGCTTCTTCCATGCTCTCTCTTCTCCCCTTTTATATCAGCTCTCTCACTATGAGAAACGTAAGAAAAACCTTCAATCTATATAAAAAACAAACAAATATCAGAAAAAAAAGCATAATTCAAGAAGAACCATAAATCTTTATCATAAATACAATCCAATAAGATCTTGGACGATTTGATCGCCGAATCCAAGTCTCCGACCAAAACGCGGATCGGCAGCTAGATGAACATAAACCTATGCCACTAATGAAAACAAGGGAGCTTTCACAGGGCTCTAGGGTTTTATGATTTTTTGAACTTATCATTGAGTTTTTTCGTGTCCAGTAACCGCTAAATAGGAAACTAAGACCAAAACGAAAAACGGAAGAAAAAAAAAAACAGGTGAGGTGAAAAAAATCAATATTTCCAGGAAACTGACCTTAGTTAAAGAAAGCAGAGAGGGTTCTGGACGCCATGGATTAGGTCTTGCAGAGCTCGAGAGAGGGAGATTATGATCGACACGAAGTCGCGGGAAACTAAGACGTATTAAATCCCCGAAGAGTCCAAACGGAACTGCATTTGGTTCAATTTCCTCCCCTTTTAAACACCCTCAACAGCTTACGTTAGAAGGAAACAAGGGAACGGTGGTGCTAACGGTTAACAACTAACGCCGTCAAGTTTGCCGTTTAAAACCACCCATAGCATATGCAAGCTCTAAAATCTCTTTTTAAATTACTAAATTGCCCACCCGATTGGTTTTTATTCCATTTGCATCCCATGCTTTTTACTGGTTTCAGTGCCTTTGAAGTTTCAATACGGCGGTCTTGAATCTTAAGAGCACACCGAAGAAGATGATATGGTCATAAATTCGGCTCGGGTGGGACCATCATGTGGACGACTAGGAAGAGTACACATGGCCAAGCCGAAGATTACCATGTATCTCAGAAGCTTACATGTGTTCCATGAACGAGAAACACAACGCCACAACGTAGTCCAGGCACGAATATCATGCGGGAGGCTCCCAGGACATCCCAAAGGCGAGGGATTCTTCGCACTTATGCTATCAAATTCTCTTTTAGCCCGTTCGCTTTTCTTTTAAGTTATTTATCCAAGTTATTAGGCTGTGTTTGAGTTTTTTTGAAAGATTAAAATTTATATTAACAAGAAACCAGAATAACAAAGTCCTCCACCCCCGGTATCCCATCTTGATAATCATATATAACAAAAGATGATAAATAGTGAGTTTAGCCATCCGGGACACCTTATGGGCGGGGCTGTTAAAGATTCGATTTATAAAGCAGAAATTCTTGAACATTCCAGTCTTGAACATCCGAATATATACAAACTTGTTGAGCATCCGAATATATACAAACTTCTTGAACATTCCAGTCTTGAAGTTCTGAAAAAGCCTGCATAATGACAAATAGTTCAATTTGGATTACTAAAATAACCCTGTTAGTTCTACCTCCAATAATTTTTAAATAGATAAATTTTTTGAAAGGATAATGAAACCATAACTAAACAACGAACCCGATATTTTCCCTGCATCAATAAACATAATCAGATCAGTAGTATGGTTTATGGTAAGTGAAATTTTATGCTCTGAGCGCCGAATTATTGAAGGATCAGAAACATTCAAAAGTCTAAAGGACTATTGGAAAGAATTATTGATTCAGTTAATAAGAGTAAAAGGTAGGATTTGCCTATTTCTGAAACATTTATCACTTCTAGCATACCAAATATAATAACAAGTCGTGGCTATCCAACTTAACATATTCATAAAAAGAGGATTATCCGCAATTTGGTTATATAATGTTTGTATGCATGAAGTTTAAGACCCTTAAAATATATTTTGCAGATGAAGGTTCCCGGGGTTACCAAATAAAACTACTTGAGTATAATGACAATACATGAACAGATGAGTTGTAGATTTAACATTCAAGTCACAAAGAACACAAATTTTTTGATATCTTTCTTCGAAAAGAAAATCTTTTACTGGAATAAAATCATTAAGAATTCTCCAAAAGAATAACTGGAAGAGATGAGGAATAGACAACTTTCAAATTTTTGTAAGGCAAAAGCTAAGATTTGGGGATATATTTGGCATGGAAGTTTGTTACTTCTTGTATTCTTCTTTTAATGTAAACTTACCATAATTGTGATGTAACCAAATCCAAGAAATTGTATTAGTAGTAGGGAAAATGGGAGCTCCCAAAATATTTGTCACTTCATCGGGGGAAATAAGGAATCTATTACATTAATATTCCAATGGCCCAAGTGTATTAGTTGGGATATATTCAAATTTCTAAGTTGGGGAGCTAAAGGAAAGAACACCCAAGAAAACTTATTATCTGATTGAAATCTCAGACAACAAAAATATCTCCCCCTATTCTACTACTTCCTCAAGCTCTATATACTAGAAAGCGTGTTTGGTTGCAGTGCAAATTCATTTACATTAGTACAAATGCATAGGAGTGCAAATTCTTGTTTAATTTTGTTTTAGATTTTATTTTATTTTGTTTCATGTCTTAATTTACTTCATTTCTACTGCAATCAAACAAAATAAACTAAAATTTGATAGCAAAATAGGTCAAAATTTATGCTCAAATCATTTGCACTGCTATGGTTTTGCATCAATGCAAATTTATTTGCATTACAACCAAACATAGCCTAAGTTTGGAAGGAGTACAAATGCAAATATGTACAGTACAACTATATACAAAATAACACAAAATATAAGGCTTTGCACTCTACAAATTTGTATTTGTACTCCTTCCAAACTGAGTATTAGTAAGTTAATGACTCTTAAAAGGGGCATTTTAGTCCCATCTAAGTGTTGGTAATTTTTCCAAGGTGGAAAAGTTATTTATTCACCTAAAAAAGGGTATTAATTTTTTGGGTAATTGATATCTAGAAAAATAAATTTTTCCTGATCTCCACATAAAAATGGAAAAAAAGAACATGAATGTTTTGTCTAAGGCTCCGTTTGGTGCATCTTTTCGCACAAGTTATTGGTTATTTAGAAGCTTGACAGGCCACATTTTCGTATTTTTTTATTTGGTTGGGAGAAGATCTAGCCATTAAAAGACTCTACCCCGAAAAGATGCAGGAAGCCCGTTTAGGACTATTTTTGGGAAGCTCCAAATAGGGCTTTTTCACTTTTTTTTTTCATCTCGTCTTCATGCAGAAAGATGCACCTCCAGCCAAACAGTTTATGGGCTACTAAGATCTTTATGTAAAAGCCCATTACGTCTTTTGGCTATCAGATCTTTCAAAAGAGACTTGCTAAATGGTACCTATAATCAATTCAACCTAGTCGCCCACCTTGTCTTCTTCATTGACTTAAACGTCAAAGTCAAGGGTCAAATTTTCGATACAATACATATCACGTGTATCATATCATATCAATAGTTCCCTTAAACTCCAAATAAAGGGTATTTTGGAATTTGGCTGCTTTCCCAAGGTAGGCATGACTAAAACCAACCCCCTAAAACAAATTTGAAGAAAAAGCTAAGGGTTAAAAAATGACTTAAAATACCCTACTGTTTAAAAAATGACTTAAAATACCGCAGACATTTCTAACAGTGGACAAAACTGCTAAATCTTGATGAAAAAGATAAAATTAGCATGTTACCCTTCCATTAATTAAAGAGGTGAGGTAAAGATTATGTAACACTTGGAAAAGAGAAAAAAACACGAAAGAGAGAAAGTGAATAGAAAAGTCTCTAAGCGCATTGAAACATCATGTCTCTACAAAACCTCAACAACCCAAAAATCCAAAAATCTCAATTACGGCGACAATGAAGAGAACCTAGAAATACTAATTACGGTGGGATTCTAATAAAAAGGCATGGGCTTTGTTCTTCTGAAGCAAAGAAATTTGTGAGCTCTGCAAAGTGAGAATTTGTATAGGGACTAAGCAGGGAGGTTGAAGAGATCGGAGGATTCACTAGGGTTTCTGAGGACAATGAGGAAGGATCACAAATGGGAGTGAAGGATCTTCATAGGTCAGGAATGGTGACCTAATCCACCCAAAATCATAGTTAATCTCTTCCACCTTGTGACGAGAACAAGGGCTGTGGCTGCAAGTTCTTTCTTCAATCTCTTCTCTTCTCTTCTCTTCTCTTCTCTCTCTCTCCCCCTTCTTTTTCTTCTTCTTCCTCTCAGTTATGTCATCTCCGTTCTCCTTCCCCTTCTTCTTCCTCTCAGTTCCATCATCTCCTTTTGGATAACATTGTGGGCATTCTTGAAACAAACGATATCAAAGATCTCAAGCTTCTGGATGATTGTCTTCTAATCGAGGTTGTTGAAGTTAAAGAGAAGAAAGTAATGGCTTGCCGCTAATAGAGGTAATAGAGAAGACTATTGGTGGCTTGCTGTTGATAGAGACAATAGAGGATGTCATTAATACAACATGATCGTCTATCTTATTTTCTGATTCCACGAGGATCACCTCCGTCCCAGTTAGCAGACTTAGATCACAATAGACTAAAGCCCCCCCAAAATCACATAGGTAAGTTTTGTTTTCAACGCCCCCCTCTTCTATCACATCAACACCCTTGAATCCTCTAACCAACTATCTGTTTCTCCTCCACTTCCTTTAAACTCTCTTCGAGACATTGCCGCTCGCACCATCCAAACCCATTTATGTGCCTTTTTTTTTTGAAAAACCCCAATCTAAAGTCATCGTCGCCTTGGCTCTTGTGACAGTTGAAGTCTTTCTTTCCTCTTTCAAAAGAATAGGTCACCTGGTGTCACATGCTAGCGAATATAAACAGTGAAGGGTGATTGTGTTCATTGTCAGAAATGTTCAGAGTATTTTAATTTCTTAAACAATATGATAGATTTGTATCCATTTATTAAACCATAGCGATAGTTTTAAGTATTTAACCCAAAAACTAAAAGAATTTAAGAGGTATCAATACACCCAATATGCCTGTTCGTGTATATCAGAGATATCATTACTTTAAAGGTCAAAAGTAGAAATGAAATCCTTACCACAAACTCTTTATGCTATTCATCTAAGTGGTGGATTCCAAAAGGTTGTTTAATGAAAAGTGTTGGATCAAGAATCATTGTTGGACCCACCAATTCATAAATTCCAATTATTGGATCGAAATATCAAACACTCTCTTTCTCTTTTTTGGGACATCAATAAAACATCTTATAATTATTCACTTTTGAGATTTGAAGAGATGGGAGATGTAATGATACTATTGAATTGGTTTTGTACAATTGCCATTTGAAATCAGGATGCAGTTCAATGCTTCATTTTATTTGTAAGGTAATTAAGGGATAAGATCTATGATGTTGCCGGATGGGTGTGATGAGTTCAGATCACTTGCTAATAAAAGGGGTTTTAACACCCTTCCAACATGATTTAACACCGCAAATCTCATACATGACAGGGCCCACTTTTACAGTGGGCCCCAATCTCATGTTGAGATATATAGTGTCAGATCATGTTGGAAGGGAGTTGGAACATGTTTTGTTGGTAGGTGATTGGAGCTCGAATATGATATTGCTAATTTGGTATCAGTATAGTTTTGACCAATCAAAACCTCTCGAAGGAATT